GGGGGCGCGGAAAGGCGCCGCGCGGGGGGAAGAAGCGGGGAAGGGGGGAAGCTTGGCTGCCGCAGGACCAAGCTTCAGCCTGCTGCCCCTGCAGGGGAGAGCAGTGGGCAGGGGGCCTGAGTGGGGCGGGGGGCCGGGGCCCCCCCCCCCCCCCGCCCTCCCCCTCCGGGGGCAGGAGGCAGAAGCTTGGTCCTGCGGCAGCCAAGCTTCCCCCCTTCCCCGCTTCTTCCCCCAGCGTGGCGCTTTTCGGCGCCTCCTCCTCCTCTCACCGGGCAGGCAGCGTGCCACTCAAAATCGGCACGCGTGCCGTAGGTTGCCGACCCCTCCTATATCTCCATAAGATGCACCCATTGGTGTAGGTACTTCACTTCCCCAAGAGGCGATTGCTATGTCAACAGGAATGCTTATCAACATAGCATGGTTTACACCAGAGGTTAGGTTAGTAACAGTGCATCACTTGGGTGTGGATATTCCACACCCTGAGCACCATAGTTATACCAAATACATCTGTAGTGTAGAGCAAACCTTAGTCAATGAACATGCTATCTTCACTTCATATGTGGCTGGACTAATGTGTATGCTTTAAGCCTGAGAGTGCTCTGTTGTCAAAGAGGCATTGTGGTATGAAAAAAACTTTTCATATATTACTATTTTAAAGAGTGTTTTACCTCTTGTTGATCTAGAAGTTATGTATTTTTAACAAGCATATTCCATTTTGAGAAATTCAATATATATAACAGGTTAAGGACTAGAAGACAAAGCCTTAATACTGAGAAAAAATTATGGAAGACAATGATTATTTCCAGTCAGGTAATACATTGGTTTGTGGAACAAATATTTATTTGTAAATGTGGTTTGTTGGTGTGATAGCAATAAAACTTACTTTCATAACCAGCCTTAATACTAATTTTTATACAATGAAAGTGCACTTACATAACATTAAGGTACAAACCAGGAAGAACAAAGGAATGTACAGTTAACTCAAAAATGTAATACTGAGATGGCACCACATGGTGACTAACACATATGCTATCTTTCTGCTTTAACTGTGTCTTTCCTTGCTTTTGTGTGTTTACATCACAACCTTAATTGCATTTAAAACCAGATTTTAGTATGTGAATTTCCTTTTCTTACATTTAAAAACTAAATAGAATGAAAATGTTAGGCATCGTTAAAAGAGACAAGGGAGGGGAACTGTAAGTAATTTTTAGTATCTCCCAAGGGGAGAGATGGGAACCTTGTTGCTTGAGTCATTTAATACCAATTGAACAAAGCACTGGAGAATAAACTGTAGGGCACAATTCTTCATTGACTGAGGGAAGACTAACTGGATGAATAGGTTTTTTCCATTTCTAACTTCTGTGATCGTGTAGAATGTGGATGGCACTATGGACTATGTTACAGATTATTTTTAATTGGCATGCAATATAGTAAAGAAATGATAGCAAAGGTAGCCTCTGTATTGTAAAGTAAAACTTCAAGTGCCAGGAGACAATATTTATCAGCAAACAAGGGAAAGACCTCATAAAGGTTAGTTACCAGCAACTAAGTTGTTTGATTGTATTGCCTTTGCATATGTACACATATGAGATAGATACCTCTAGTATTTCCGAGCTTGAGGATCTTTCTAGAAAGTTGTGTCCACTGGGACTGCATAAGAGCCCTCCAAGCACTCTGAGCCAAGTCTATAAAAGAGCAGTACAGATCCAACTACCTAAATTCCTTCTATGAAATCTTAGGTT